CTTCTATTTGTAGGTACTTCTTTCGAGTGGCATAAGTACAGTAAAACACATGTTATGACAATGTACTTTCATTTTCGAAAATTATTATTAATTCAGTTCCAAAATATACAAAACAATGAACTATATACAGATTGATAAGATAGATATTTTCAATTAGATGAATTTAGGATTACAAAATTATATCAAATCACAAAATCTATGATAATATACTGTGTAAATACATTAACTGAAATCCTATGTCATTTGATCAATGTTTTATGTGGTGGAATTCCAAATTATTCAATGATTTCATCAATATGGTAAAAAAAACTAGCTTTACAAGATATCAAATGAATTCCAAGAAGAAAACTCAGTCTAGGATGCCACCTACCTCAACTCTAAGTATATTAGGAATATTCACATTATGAAAAGTGTGTTATATGGATACAATTCACACACATAGCACATTACGATTATGACAATTTGCTGTTATTGCAGTGGGGCACCATAATGAATGAGGTATGGAAGTTGCACTGTAAACAATCCTCAAAGCCTGGAAGTAATATTGTTGAAGATAGGACATCGATAGTTGTATCAACTATTAAATCCACAGCTGTGTCCACAGTAATGTCAGGATGCCTTTGGTGTTGAATTATTTCTTGGTTTAGACTTATTAGAGCTGGTTGCTGCTGATTTCTATTATATATTATTGCACATGATTCTGATGGCTATAATATTTAGCACAAAATAGTCGAATAGGTTAACACATTGTTTAGGGATGGTTTTCAATATGTTCACAGAAGGCTGTTCACTGTTGAAAAACTTCACTCCTGGTATCACCATTTGTGGTCTGTAGGATCCTTTTGCTTGAAGAGTGGAGTTATACAGGTATGATGGTGAATATATCAGCTTCTGATGATAGTGGATATGCTTGTGATTTTTGATATCCCATAAAGCTGTCCCACAGAAATGCACTGGTTTGAAGAAAGCACAGACTATTTGGTCCACGATTCAGTCAGTAGGTAACAGTTATTTTCCTCACATCACGATGAAACAGTATCATCCAACAAAAAATATTATGATTTCAGTAAAAAGTTCAACAAAAAACACAAATAACACGATGAAATATCAAGAAGAAAATGTATGCAAATCTCAAGAAATTTTGTAAACAAACTACACACTCTTTGCCGCCATCTTGTTTTGAAACAGCGCCCCCAACGGTCGATCACCTTGCCAATTCTCTCTCATAACGGCGGAATAATGTTGGATCGAGTGTTGGATTAAAGTTTTTGTTTTGTTTATTTGTTTAGAATATACGTGATACTTTTCATCTTATTTTTATAACTCTCGAATATATAATGCTATGTTTTTTTTTCTTGTTGAGATGTATGATGTAAGTATGTACCTATTAGGTACTTTCTTTTCAATAAAAAATGTCATTTCTGTTGTTATTTTCTCTTCCTACTTCTACATTATACCTAAGAAGTAGGTGAAGGTAAATATCCCGTACTAGACCGGAACAAGATTGTGCATGACGAAATTGCGATATATTTGCGAGACTCTCGTACGAGACGCGAGGCAAGACGAGACTCGGGGCTGCGAGACGAGACTCGAGACAAGACTTGAAATTTCATCGGCGAGACGAGACGAGACTTTATGAAAGTCTCGTCTCGTTGGTCTCGTGTGAATCACTAGAAATTTGTAGAAGCTATTTGCAGATATGTCGATGCTAGTGGAATTTGATAAAATATTGTATAGGTCTTCATATTATCCTATGTGGAGGGGAGTTTAGAAAATAGTTTGTATTTGCTTGCTTGGTGAAAAATAAAAGAGTTTGGCAAGTGTTGTAGTTAGTTACAGTATATCGAATCTGACTTTCAATTTCATTTGAGTCTATTTTGTGATTTACAACTTTGTTAAGAAACTTCACGTCTGTGATTTTCCTCCGGTGTTCAAGTGAAATCAGGTTTAGTTATGGACCTACAGCATTAATATATATTAATTATTTATCTGTGAATTTATTCTCTACATCACGCGGTATTGCGATTTTTTTTAGTGAATTCAAGTATATATGTTCTTATTTAATTTTTCTCACAAGGATTACGGTGAAGAACGGGCATTCACCTTCATTGAATACCATTAATTTGAGAACTCTTTAAACCATCAGAACTTCTCAGACTCCACCACCATTGATTAACAAGAATTCAAAATCACCGTTATATACCTATATTATGAAACTTTCCTTATTAGGAAACTTCGCAGTTGTCTTCGTTTCGTCTGCTAACTTTTCTGAACGATTGAGTTGAATTATGTATCCAGGATATATGTATTGTGTGTCTGGATCGCTGGAAATACAATTTTGCAGCAGCTATTGTATTTTTTGACAACTTCTTGGCTCCTTATACATATGAGCTCATTCATCCTTCGTAAACATTGAAGATAGCAAAAAAAATGAGCACGAAATATTTGGAAAAGACACAAAATCACTTCAAAAGTTACAGTAGCGTACCTACTGGGGGGGATAAGGGCGATATATCACCCCATATACCGATAGAAAGACACCACTTTTCTTAACGTACTATGTTTTCATCTCTATAATAAGGGTTTCGTATTGTTTGTTGTTGTGTGAGAATAGCTTGAGAACTCATGCTCGAATCAACGATGCGTATACAGTGGCTTCCACACATGGACGTATATTTTATACGTCCATGCTTCCACATCAGCAGTTTGCCTTGCCAATGAACATTCGAAATTTCAAATCCATTCAGAAGATATTGGAATTTTTTAACATGGTGCAGTGTCAGTTACATAGAACATAGAATATGTAAATCTACTGATATTCCTACCTGTTATTCCTGAAACTATATATATAAATATTTGAAAATCAAAAGCTAAGGTGCTCAGACTTCATTCTGTAATGCTCAGAATTATTCTACCTAGTTATTACTAATATAATTTCGAATAAAAATGTGTTTTGAAAAAAAGCCCTTTCCCTTCAAGGTGAACTTCTGGGTCTGCCACTGAAAAGTTATCCAACTGAATTCGAGTACATTTCTATTAGGAAAGTAGAAACAAAATATTGGACTATAACGGTTATCCACTCAGAATTTGCGAACGATTCTTTGCCACTTGAATTCGATATTTTCTCCGGAGGTAGTATCACGTGACACGTCATTATAAGATTCATTTTTACGAAATCTCAATATGACGAGATAATAAATTTTCACCATTCCAGACTCCAGACTACAGAATTTCCTTCTGTTATCTGTCTTCATGAACCATCAAATTTTGATTTAGCTTCATAAATTTTATGTTGGCGTCGTCTGCCGTCATTCAAGGTGTTCCTTACAATACTTTACATACAGTCAGTCGGTACCTGATATTAAATTTCACAATAAAATCAACTTACACTCTTTTTCATCCAACTTTTTCCAATATTTCGTAAATGTATTTTATGAGAGATTTATCGTGTTCATGGATAGCGCAAAAATGTCATGAGGTAGTAGGAAATGTATTATCATATTCAGACCTTTACCCCGCTTTACCCAGTGTTTCAATAAAGAACTCGTAATGCACCAATCTCTACGTAATCACCTTCTTGAGTTCAGACAAATTTGTTGAATTAATTATTAGTTTGTATATTGCCTGACTAAGACCATTCGATAGAAAGAGCATGAAACAGAAAACTTCCAAGGTATTTAAATTGTTAGGTTCTATTTTTTTGAAGACTACTTCAGAATATCTTTACACATTGTACATTCAGAATATTTATACATATAGTACACGAATTTCTTAAAGATCAGAGTTTGAAATTCTAGCATTCAATATTAATAATACAATAACAATGAATACTTCTGAAAATACCAAATACTTAGGAACTCAAATCTATCTTTCAAAAACTGCATACATGATATCAGTAGAAAAATTAACAGAGGATTCTTTGCCATTCTACAGATGAAAAACATATTTAATAGACATCAGCTGATCAAAATATACCATGCACTATATGCCCATCTATCTTATAACATATATAAACGGGATTTCACAGGTAGAGGAAAATATTTCAATGGTAGATAGGGGTCACCAAGGTGGTTCTGAAAATACCATATTTGATAGGTCTTAGAGTCTTCATAACGGAGATACAGGGCGATTTATCGATTTCGTATAATTATTCATTCGTCTATATGTATTGACCTACCCAGTATATTTTTCTAAAATTTGGTATGGAGCTTATACTTGGGACGTTGAATTCATTCACCTATCGGGCGGAGTGAAAATCCAGGTTCGGCTTCAGGAAAAATTTACATTAATTCGAAATATTAAAATAATACACTGTATGTAATAATTGACATTAATTCAAAATCAACTTGACATTACCTTAAAATCAAATTAACATCAATTCATTATCAAATTGACATTAACTTCACATTAATCACTAAATTGCCAATACATTGACATTAATTCAACTTTCAATTGAAATTAACTTGATTTCAACTTTTCATCAACTCAACATTACGTCAACATTAACAACAATAAAATTGTTAAATCGACACTAACTTTCCATTAACTTGACCATAACTTAACTTACCATAATTCAGCATAATAATCATTCATTGGTACATCATAATCTATAGACCCTGATGTTACTGTGCGATTTTCGAATATTTCCACCCATGTGAGTTTTTTGCTTTTGAACTTTCTAACTGTTAAATGTTGTCCATAGTTGTCATAGGGAAACGAGTCACTTTCTCAATAACAAATCAATATGTAACAATGATCGAAATGGAATAACTATGTTAATATTATTATGAATCATACCTAATGTATGAACATGCTTGTATGACAACTGTTAGCCCTTCGAACATACATTAGGTATGATTCATATTATTATTATTATGAATCATACCTAATGCATCTACATGCTTGTATGACAACTGTTGGTCCTTCCCTGTATGGCGACACTAAATTCGGTGTTGTCCAGCGAACATGAATTCCATATCACTAATGAAATTCTTTGGCAGGTCCTGGAGGTCGAATGGTGGCCCGTAAGCCGGGATAGTTTGATGTATGGCATTTCTGTAATCTCGCTGATTGCGGTGTTACAAGACGGAAAAATCCACTTCCACGAAGCTTTGGCTCTGGTTCTGGTCTACTCGCTGTATGTGTTTCGTAAGTGAAATCAACTCTGTGCAACTGTAATTTTGCGAAAATGAAAAAAAAGCAAGTCATGGAAATCATCCATTATCCAGGATTTATATAGTTTCAGCACCACGGTCTCCTTCGACAAAATCAAAAGTACCTAGAAAATACATTATGTTCTTAAATCTAACAATTGTAACTGAGGATGAACATGTAGATATATTTATATAAACAGATACATACAAAAATCAATCCAGCTCAGAAGTAATAGTTTTTAGACTGGCTGGAGAGCTAAAAAAACCTCACCAAATTAGGATCAACATCAGGAGGTATAGGGTGTCCCAGAGCTTCTGGACCAGGAGATATCGGGGTTATCTAGTAAAAAAATTCGAAACATCATGGAATTCATGGTAGCAGATTCTCTCCGAAATGGTGAAATCGAATCATCCTTGTCCAGGGGTGATTTCTACACCCCTTTTTCAAATTGCACACTCATGATTTTTCGCTTCATTTTATAGAACTTTCCATTATCAATTCGACATATACATCGTGATCGCTACAGCGTTGTAGTCGCAACCATAAAGAAGTAAGTGATTTCGCAGACTTGTTATACTGTTACACCCAGTTATTCCTCTAAAGATAATCAATCGATATTGTTTCTTCAAAATCATTGAAATTGTTCGAAATTTCCGTAGATGAATTCTTTATTGCTAAATATCTGGTCCGATATGATATGAGAACTAGCATCGTCCTGTTTCAAGGTCAATGATACCAACCAGGCGCAATATAGAACCATTTTGCATGCCTTTTCAGTCATTCAACTCTTATTTTCCTTAAAATGACAAAAAGTTTTCATTTTGTATAGGAATAGTCAGCACTTATATCCAACTTATAACTGATACTTAATAAATAGGATGAAATAAAAACAAGCAAAAGGGGTCATGGGTCTAAACAATATAGCACGTCCATAGTAGAGTGGATCACAGAGGACTAGATTAAAACTCATCGAGTGTGTAAAAACAGTTGACCAACAAAAGCGACTTCAGACGTTTTTTGAATATCGATAAATTTTCAGCTCTTTTGATGATTTCTGGAAGATGATTAAAGATTTTAGGTCCAATGCATTTAGGAGCATTTTGAGTAATTTTATATTTTGCAACTTTGACATGTATCATTTGTTTTTGACGAGTGTTCTTATCATGAATATCACTATTTAGAATGAAATCGGTTTTATTTGTGAAAACATGAACTACAATTTCAAATATAAATATACTCATGAGAGTTAGAATTTTCCGATTTATCAATAGAATTACATGAAGAACGTCTAGGAGTATTGAATATATATCGTGAAATAGCCTTCTGTTCAATAAATACGTTTCTACCCATTGTTGAGTTGCCCCACAAGCAAACATCATAACGCAACCTAGACTCAACCTCAGCATAATAAACACTGATGAGTTGCTTTTTATCCAAAACGAATCTCAGATTCCTGAAGAGATAGATGAGTTAGCACAATTTTGAAACCAGTTGTTCACAGTGTGGAATCCAGTTCAGATATTCATCCATTTGCATACCCAAGAATTTAACTGGATTGAAGCTGCTTTGTAAGGTGGTATTATTAATATTCAGTTGAAGTGCTTCAGTTTTATTCTGATAATTATGGAACCGAATCACCTGAGTTTTTTTAGAAACAAAAAATAGATCCTGTCTGTTGAAATATTCAGTAGTTGAATTCAGGATATCTTTGCATTTGTGTGTTAAAATATCAGATTGCTTATCCGAGATCAATATACTAATATCGTCTGCATATGCTGTAAATAATGAGTATGATATTTCTCTATCGATGTTATTGATGTATAGTAGGAACAGAACCGGCCCCAAGATAGATCCCTGAGGCACACCATTCCGGAACAGTTTCTTTTCTGATGTAGCGGATGCCTGTACATGTTGTTGGTGTCACATGACTATCCTCAGCTGATAATGAATAAATTCTGAAATTGATGATTATTATCAATTTCAATATCAAGCATACTCTCATCACACTCCATTTCATGAGCTATTATATAGTCAATTTCTCAAAAATGATATTTATAACCTCAAACACTCAAACCATCAACTTCGACGTTTTCCCACTCCCCCACTCGAGCCCCCACTGGTTTTCCTGGTACGAACACGGTTCGAACCGTTCATTTAGACGTTTTTGAACCGGAATGAACCGTATTACTTGGTAATGCTTGATTTTAAATCGTTTTGAATACGGTTCAATAAGAAAAAACAACTCATCTTAGCATGTAAACACTCTGTCAACTGTCACACGTCAAAACGACATTTATGTTTCTGTGTCTGACTGAATCATGGAAATGAAGTTCAGTTTCCTTTCGTCTACTGAAGCAGTAACAGACAAGACAAATTACAGTTGATTCCGATGATTTTGCCATAGTAGACACCTCAGCTTTTATTTCACTTCGCAAATTATAAGTTTCGGCGTCCTGAGTCTTTCTGGGATCATCAGTCATGTGATCACTAATAGTAGTAAATCAGTATAAAAGCAGTAAAGTCCCTGTAACGCACACGTTTCGATATACTTTCTGTAAATTCTAACTTCTCTTGCCAAAGGAATCATTAATTATAATATGTCATTAATTTTATGACGGTTGTCGCACAGATTAACTCCGTTTGGAGTTATAAACATCAGAAGCTCGCAGGATCTGATGCCGTCTCCTGAAAATTTCCCATCTGTATAGAGCTGAAACTATCTATAAGGAAATGCACTCATCATGAAAACGTTTCATTCCTTTGATAATAATTATTAGTCAGGGCCGGATATATGTACAGGGTGTTTGGAAATGCAACCGTCATAATCACTGAAATAGGGACATACGGTCTTCAAGTGTTCAGGTCTTGAGATACAGGGTGTTGAAGTTGAAAATAAAAATATATTTCCCTAAATAACTCAAGAATGATTGAATATTTTGCATTGGTCTTAGAAGGTTGATCGTATATAAAGATGCGGCCAGATCCCCTGCCACTATCGCCTGCCGCTATCAGCGAAGGGCCAGTCAGTTTTTTGATAAATCCTCTTCCTTATATTGGCAAGGCTTGGTACATTTATAAGCCTTTGCTTCAAAATTCCGGTGATAGAAACATATTCCACTTTGTTGATTACCACTGACTCTTGTTCGTGACCTGGATCGACTGTTTCTGGATGATTGTCCTATGTCGTAAGTTCTGGATCTGAGATTCAATGTTTCATCTAACTTCCTATTCAACTCATCAAGTTTATTTTCTCTGCCATGGGAATTTTCGGGTTTTTTAAGGGAGCAAACTTGATTGAAATTCTTAGCACCCTTGAGCATTCCATCTGCCATATTGACTAACTCTTCTTCAGGAAGTTTTTCACGAAACGCACGAATAATCTGCTCTACAGTAGGTGGTACCAGTTCCGTCATTTCTCTGAATAATTGACTAGGTTTCTTATCGCCTAACTCACATTCTCCAAATAGTTTCATCATATTTTGTTCGTCAGAAACTTTGGGTTCATTTCGCATTGTGAAAATATTTAAGTTTTCTTTTGCCAAACCGCAATCCAGAACTGAAATTATTTTTCCCATTGTCATTAGAAATTCCATGAAAGAATAGGTTTTCTATATCGGATGAAACCACAATGTAGGTACATTTTTACAAAAACAAGGCAGACTAAACGATTTAGATCTATTATATTGTTGATCTAAGTCGGAGTCTTCAGCATTTTTCGTTCGATTCTGAGATCCATTGGTTAAAATTTGGTTACTTTCAGAGCTGATAACTGATTCTGAGTTATTAGAATGCTCCTTAGTTTTGTTATCTAGTTGTTTCTTAAGATCTTCATAGTTCTTGTTGTTTTCATCAATTTTCTCAATGAGGTGTGAACACAGATTCTCCAGTCTGTTTTTTTTTTTTTTTTTTTATCGCTTGGAGCGCACGAAAGGGAATCCCTATAATGTTCAAAGAACATCGTGCGTTCCTTGGGAGGATAGGGACAGGAGGTAGGTATTGGAATTTTTTTTGAACTTTTGGAGATTATATGTTGTTGGGAATACTTCCACAGGCAATGAATTCCAGAGCCTAGCCGTTCTATGGATGAAGGAGTCTTGATGAAGTGCTAATCGACATCTTTCGAGGTTGACAACGAAAGGATGTGCTGACTGGGCTTGTCTAGTTCGTCTGATTGGTATTGCTAGTGAAGGGATGATAGCAGAGATTTCCGAAGAACATTTCCCGTGGAAGTATCGATAGAAAAGTGAAAGGTCGCCGACCTTTTTACGATGTTCCAATGATGTCAAAGAGTGAGTGAGTGTGGCGTCACCAACCAGGCGAATGGCTCTTCTCTGGATGGAATCTAAGAGCATCAGTGTATGTTTTGGTGCTGAACCCCATATGTGGGAACAGTATTCTAGAACAGGCCGTATCTGCGCTTTGTAGATCATGAGAAGCTGTTGAGGTGTAAAGTAGCTTTTCGCACGGAACAAGAATCCGAGTTTTTGTGAGTTTTTGTGTTGATCTTATTGATCAATGAAGCATTATTATCAACTGACGATTGGTTGTCGATTGCATCTAATGTATTTGTGAAATCTCAATTTCCTGAACACTCAGGTATCTTAACTCGAATCAGGCCGGCTCTTCAAAATGTCGACCAAATCTTCTTCTGCCAAGGAATCTCCTTCGTTCATTTCAAAATGTTCCAGGATTTAATGAATTTCTGATCTGTTCAAATTTTCTAAAAGTTTTACCATTTTCGTTATCTCTGGATGAGATATCACGTCGGGGTCACCAATTATGGATTCTTTTATCCACAAATGAAATGATTATTAGAATTAACTTAAACTCTTTATTTTAATTATCAATGACAATCCACATCAATCATAATCTGACATAATTCCCAAATGTTATATAATGAGGGTTCTGCCACAGTCTTCTCTGAATATTATTGTGGATGTATTTTTGTACTTGAATATTGTTCCACTTGAATTTTTTATCAGTATGACGTAAATTAATATAGCACATGACACCTGTTTACAAACTCGGTCATGTAAATATTATATCCTAAAATCTTGAATTATCTTGATGTACCTTTGATTTTCAGTAATTTGTTTCAATAACAAACTGAGCAGGACTGCTCATCGGATATTGGCAAAATTCCAAAGGCGGAGATACTATGTGGAAATTATGAAGGAAACACACCCGCTACTTTTGCAGAAAAATGGGAAATACGAGGCCGTACATGAGATCCTTGACACGGAATTGACTTTGGAAGACTGCGAAAAGTTTGGTAGGTTTTGGTCTGAAAACTATAACGCAAATATCATTTTCAATTCAAGAACTCCAATCAAAGTTGTTTGTGCATTGAATAATGTTTGTTGATATCAGATCTGGTGAAGTATATCGAAGTTACAGTTGTGAATGAAAAAATTGTTCCCAAATCTTTCATTCTCGCTTAATATATACAAAAAGATCCAAGCGATGTTAGTTTTTCTGTACAACTTTTGAATAACCAATTAGATCAAACTCCAAGAGAAAAATGAACCATTGCAACAATACCTACGTGGTTTCGTGGTTCGTGGTACGATGTTTTTCGTTCGCTAATTGAATTATTCATCTACATTCACTCATATTCATATATATATCGGGTGGTCACAAAAAAACCGGAAGTTTTTATTTTCCTCGTGGTTTCGTCATTTCTCAACCGAATTCGAATTTCTTGGCGTCGTTCCATAGCAAAAGGGCTACAGTATACAGTGGAATATTTGAAAATTTCATAATGAACAAAAACATGGCATATTCTACCAAAGTATTGTCATTTACAAAAACCGCTGGAGAAAAAGAAAATCAGATTTTTCCCAACCTGTAGGTACCGATGTCATCTTAGGCTATTCATTTCTGAAGATAATGAGTACTCGAACATCGAAATCGAACAAATAGTCCAGTAGATACACTCATTTCTTTGCAATTTGTTATGGAGTGAATGTGGTAATCTCGTATAAACGATTATTATTATTATTTTGCTTCAGGCTTCATGAAAATTCAATCGAATTTGGATTTCTTAGAGTTATTTCAAAGATAAAGAACTGTAGTACATAATAGAACATTTGAAAATCCAATTATTGAAAGAAACAAAATGGTGGAGAATCCAGAATTTTTGTGATTTTCAAAAATCTCTGGCGAATAAATTAATGTTTGTTCTTCCAATCAGGTTCGATACAATTTAAGATCATTGATTTCGTAAGGGAATGAGCACTCGAACATCTGAATCGAACCATTAGTCCAGGAGAAACACGTTCTTTTTGGCAAAGTGATATGGAGTGAATGTGCCAATCCCGTGATAAGAATCACTTTCAGTTTGCTTCTGGCTTCAGCGAATTCAAACGAATTTGGATTTCTTGATGCCATTCCAGAGCTGAATAGCTGTAGTACACAGTGGAACATCTGAAAATTTCATAATTGAAAAAAAAAAAAAACGAAATGGTGGAGTAACCCTAACTTTCGCGATTTACAAAAACCGCTAGCGAATAGAAAAATGTTGATATTGACATCGAGATGTAAGTCCAGGAAGATTGCGTGAAACCCTGAAAATATATAGAACTTTATACTAGTTTTAGTCAAAACAAAACGAATTTTGAGTACTCATTCTCTTCAGAAATGAGTAGCCAAAGATGACATCGGTACAGGTTGAAAAAAATCTGATTCTCTTTTTCTCCAGCGGTTTTTGTAACTGACGATACTTTGGTAGAATCCGCCATTTTGTTTTTGCCCATTATGAAATTTTCGAATATTCCACTGTATACTATAGCCCTTTAGCTATGAAACGACGCCAAGAAATTCGAATTTGGTTGAGAAATGATGAAACCACGAGGAAAATTAAAACTTCCGGTTTTTTCGTGACCACCCGATATATATCCATTCATGTTCTTGTTTTAGATGAATCTACCAAAATATGGGAATGGCCAGCAGAAGAAACTACGAAAGGACAAATTTGGTGGGTTCTAACCTGGCCCATTTCTCTTATCCTCTACATGACTATTCCCGATTGCAGAAAACACCCAAAAATGTATGTTATCACATTTATAATGTGCATTTTCTGGATAGGAGTAACCTCATATACTGTCGCCTGGTTGATAACTATTCTAGGTAAGTAACATGACATGGTTTTAGTTGAAATTGGGAAGAAACAGTGAGAATACAACTTTTTTCAAAATTTCCTAAATTCCCTAAATACTTGATAACGATTAGATGGTATCGAAACATCGACTCTTTCCACGAGGGATTTCATCAGAAATGCAACAAATATGGAATGATTGGGAAAAAAACTATGGTCCGTTATCTTCCATTCTTTACTTATTTCCAACATACATCTCAATACCTTTTTGTCAGTGATTAAAATAACTTTGTGAACCACTTCATTTGGTGACTATCATAATTTTTCAACTACAGCGACTATACTGAAGATTCATTTTTTTTTCAGGAGACACGTTGAATATTCCGGATTCCGTAATGGGATTGACATTCCTGGCTGCTGGAACAAGTGTTCCTGAAGCAGTATCCAGCGTAATTGTAGCCAAACAAGGTAAACAACTGGAAAATATAATTTCTGCTCAGATATACTGAGATATTCGTTGAAACAATACTTGAAGCTGAAAGAAAGAAAACTGGGAGTCTTTTCTACACATTCAATGTCAGATAGACTCAGACAAACCTGTTTCAACAAGGTTTGAGACATGTTTAGACCATTCAAATGGTTTTCATCAGTCAAAATGAACAAAAAATGAATCAACGATGGAAAATTCATTTTGTATCTTGCGAAATACATATAAATAAAGATAAACTTTTGTAGTGAAATGTATCATGAGTACACAATTGCAGGAGGTACAAAATATACAAGGTTTTCCAAAAATAGCGCTAAATATAGTGAGGAAACTTTATGAAACTATAAGTCTCCAAGAATTTTCTTCACTCACCATTTTCAGGATTTTCTAAATAAAATGCATAATATTATCGTAATTTGGTCTGAATTTTGTTACATTTTATTTAACTCGCATAATTTGTACCATTTGCAACAACTCAAGTAACTACATTTCATCAAATAAGTAATGTTAACTCTATTTCAGTACTTTGAAGATGAAAGATAAGTTTCATATTGCATTTTCACATTATGTTCATTTTGACTTTGAATGAAATACGGCTATTTGATTTGAATGGTTGAAACGTGTCTCATCCCAGCAAACACAATTATGTAAAATTGACATAAGTGTTACATAACTGAAAATACGTGTTATGTAACCATGTTATGTAAGACTTATATCACTGTTATGGCAAAATGTCCGCCACAAATACTACATGATTATTACGTAACAATTATGTCACTATTTTATATATATTTTATATAATTTCATTGCTATAAATAAGATGTTACGAATATAACAAACTGACATAAATATTACATAACATTCTCTAGATGTTATGTAAAATTTACATCCCTATTATGTGAAAATGTCAGCTACAAATATGACCCCATTTTAATATAATATTGATGAAACTTCTTGACTAATATCCGAAATGAATATCAGAATTTCACAAATAACCTCTTCACCTCACCAACTCACTTCACAGGCATATGCACATATTGATAACTAAGTAATCATCTCATTATAGGTAAACCTGTAGTAGCAGGATCAACTGCGTTTAACTGACGTTAAATTCATGAAATTTGCTAGGCACTGTTGAGGTATTGAGTGTTGACCTTTCTCATAATGTCTTTCCGCATTTCGAATCCAGATGTTTTTTCTTTATCTTTACGATGCTGACAAATGGATATTCATTTCTTCCTTTCAGGTTATGGAACAATGGGCCTTAGTAGTTCAATAGGTTCCAATACGTTCGACATCTTGTTGTGCCTAGGAATTCCTTGGCTGATCAAGACCGCATTCTATCCCAAAGTTCCGGGACAACACTGGATACAGATAAATTCAGCCGGAATTAATTTCAGTGCGTTCGCATTGCTGTCGACCCTCGTGCTGTTATATTTAAGTATAGCACTCAATAAATTTAAGTAAGTAGTAATCAGTACCAACTGATTTTTTACGAGGTTTTATTTGGGAGTACAGTGTGTCCACTTATCGATGTTTTTGCGTGATAGCTCAGTTATCGTTGGAGATAGAAACTTGCCGTTTTCGCGACCATATGCTATTTTTTCTTTGAAACCCAAGATGGCCTAATCAGTTATTGCATAGCTGTTTCCGTTTGCGAGATACAGAGCGATTTTGAAAATTTATATACTTTTTGAACCCCCTCTATATCTACGAAGTTTTTCAGTGTAAATGTCAAATTGGAATCTCATCTCATTGAGAATTTTATGCAGAATTCAGTTGGCGAACTCAAAATTTTTTTCGGGGTTTGGTTTTGAAGATACGACTCAAACTTATGATTTTTTGATTGGAAGAACCTGTATTTTATTAGCTCATTGAATTCCTTATTCTTTCCCCTTCAAAATAACACATAATGTATGAATATAAAATTTTCAAAAATGCTCCAAAATCACTAAAACATTGAATTTTAATAGTGGGCTACGGATTTTGTATATAACAAAAGTTTCAATTGAAGTAATATTTTCTCTGATTTTTCCATGAAGAGAACAAAAACAATAACAACACTAATCAACTAACAAAACACAAAACTCAGGTAGCTGATAGCAACAATTAAATAGTAATAAAAAGCTTATAATATAGAATCGTAGAATGAGCACCTGGTTAAATATTCACTGAAGCAATAGAATTCCGAAATTATTCAGTAACTTATTCATTGAATTGTTCGATTTGATGTCCATTTTCCCTAACAAAACACAAGCATGCCTTTTCTCTAGAAGAGCCGATCTCACTGTGGCCAACATGCCAAGAGTAACCATACCTTTGGAGACATCCATATCGATGCTTGGTATTATTATCAGCAATAACCTGAAAATCACGTGAGATCACGCTAGAAGTGCATCTCAAAAAATTGGTTTTCTGTTTCGGGCCAGGAGCTATTCCACTTCCAGTCAGCTGCTAATATTCTATAATATTTAGAGTGCAGCACCCAAACATACCCTGAAACTGTTGGATTCTGTCCAAAAAGGGGCAATTAGTCTCGTGGGTGATGCCTTGCTCACAAACTCACTCACTTCTCTGGAACACTGAAGAAAAGTTGGCGATCTGGCTCTATTTTATAGATATTTTCATGGACGATGCTCTTCTGAAATATCAACCATTGTTTCTCCCTTGGCAGTCCCCGCGAGATTAACCCGTTGAGTTGAGGCTTCGCACCCCTTCGTGGTCACTTCAAAGACCTGCAGAACATCTTTTTCCAAAGACTCGTTCATCCAACGAACAACGAGGCTCTGGAACAAATTGCCAAGGGAGTTGTTCCCCGAGGCATATAACCTCCAGAAATTTAAAAAGAACACCATTTCCTACCTCATTTCCCTTGGCTCTCACGATGTTCTCTGAACATTACAGGATATCCGTTTTCGTGGGAACCAGAACATAGAAAAAAACACACAACTGATACACTTTCCCAATACGTCTTGAAACGGTAAGAAACACACCAATTTTGAAGAATTTTGTGCAACAACAGACCCAGTTTTCCAGGAAATACAAAGACATCCTTTCATAATTTTGATAAAGTGTGAATGGAAAAATAGACATAAATTTGAACAATTCAATAAATAAGTTACTGAATGATTTCGAAAATCAATTGATTAAGTAAATATTTAATCAGGTATTTTTCCATTGTCATCTGAATACCGTTAAATCAAAATAAATGTATGCATAGGATAACGAACATGGGTAGGGAGTCTATATACAATCCCATAAGCATTCGCCAATCAATCACAAAGAAATGAACAGCACTTTTTTTATATATTCACTGGTGATTCTGCGGGGAATATCCAGAAACACCCCACCACATCTTGCGGAAGTGTTTTGCTGTACACCACAAAAGATCTAATATACTGGGAGGATGCCAGATGACCGTGGAATAAATACCACAAATAGATTCCCTTAAAATCCTCAGATTCTTTAAAGAATTGAAGCTTGAGGGGCTGCTATAAACAAGAGAACCTTGAGATAGCAGAAGAAGATGTGGCACAATTGATCTAATCAGTTCGCAGCACATCTGTCACCATCCAATTTTACCAATACTGGTAATTCGATACATTTCATGTGATAGGGGAAGTGTAGTAAGGATCGAATTTAACCCTGATACGCATTATGCATAAGTTAGTTTTTGGGATATTTAAATTTTTGTTTTTCTGCAAAAGGACTTAATGGGTTGAAAAGTTAGTTTCCCAAATCCCTGCTGTACATGTTTTCTAATTGTCAGTTAGAATACGTGATCAACACTATAGTCTTAATTCAGATCATAGATGAATTGTAAACACAAAGACGTATTTTTGTTTGTGAATTTCAACACTCTCTAGCGGTTATTTTTAGAAAAATCTCTGAGCCATATTTGTCAAATTTTTTATAATACTATACCTATTATCTGGGCAATGTTAACATAGGAACAGGACATATGAGCATCGTCAGAATAGTGAACAGGGACATACTTAATATGAGAACAGATCACATTTCGAAACGATATATATTTGACACTTCATTCAGAGTGTCCATACCAGACAGATCTAAATGGAAGGACGGAGAACTCAGCACCATATTGAAGGGAAAGATCTGGTATACAGACGGGTCCAAGACTGCGAATGGGTCAGGAGCAGGAGTATACTCCAAACATCCGGAAACTAGCCTCAGCTACTCATTGGGGAAGTACGCTTCAGTTTTCCAAGCAGAGGTGTACGCAATTCTCCAATGTGCGGAAGAAAATAACAGGAGAGCCGTGGAAAACGAGCAGATCCGTATTATGTCAGACAGTCAAGCGGCACTTAAGGCAATAGAAAGCCAGGAAGTGACATCTCGACTGGTATGGGATTGCAAGAGGGAACTGAGAACTTTGGCAGACCGGAACTGCGTCAAGCTAATCTGGGTGCCAGGTCATCAGGGGATCGCTGGCAATGAGAAGGCTGACGAACTCGCAAGAAGAGGGTCGGACAACGAGCCAGATCCAGGACAGACTCTTGGAGTACCAAAACGTACAGCACGAGGGTCAGTTAAAGACTGGATTCAGGCAAAACACAAGAGCTACTGGGAAAACATCCCAAGAAACAGACATGGGAAACAATACATTAAGGAACCAAGTCATAAACGAACTGTAGACCTGCTCAACTTGAACAGAGCACAGATAAAAACTGTTACGGGACTCATGACTGGCCACGCGCCAGTAAAGGAGCATCTCACCAGAATGGGACTGTACAATGGCGACCCAAGCTGCAGATTATGTGGCAAGGAACCAGAAACAGTAGCACATATACTGTGCCGATGTGAGGCATTGGACCGCAGAAGACAGAAGATCTTTGGGCAACCAGTTGGCGAACCAGAAATATTCAACTCACATCCAGTGAAGGATTTGTACAGACTTGTTCAGGGTACAGATATAATGGAGTGGGCACAATAAAGAACATTAGGTAAGATACAATGGGCCACCATAGGCCTAAGTGTCGTCGGAGACATGGTCAGACGAGCCTACAAACGGGGTGGAGTTTTTAGTGGGTAAACCCTGGCTAGAGTCAGGGGAGTCCCACACTACCATATGGGGGATAGGACCCATATGGTGTCCATAAAGGATTTAAACCACCTCGACAAAAAAAAAAAAACCTATTATCGGCTGATCGTTCGGAAGTTCCTGGATGAACGTTTTCCTAACCGTTGGATTGCAAGGTCAGGTTCAATAGGTTGGCCAGCGCGAAGCCCTAACCTAACCCCTCTTGATTATTATGTGTGTGGTCATATCAAAACGTTAGTTTATGAAGCACCAATAAATACCTGGTAAAAGTTCTTACGAAGTATAACCGACGCTGCCCTGCATATACGAAATAAATTGACTACTAGAATAACAAGAAGGGAAATAACAAGAAGCTGCCGAGATAATATTCGTAATGGAGGTTCTCACTTTGAAAAGGGTTTGAAATTGTTCAAGTACGTTTTGACTATTCATTTAAAATAACAAAACTTGCATTAAGCACTTTGAGTTTCATTTTTACCCACTCAGATAGCTATTGCCTTGAGGAAGTTTTAACAAATTTTCGACAAATGTGGTTCAGAGATTTTTCTGGAAATAACCGCTATATAGAAAGTCTTGAAGTACACAATTCACGAACAAAAGTCAGTTATTCCACTTGCTGTAAACATCGAACTCAAGGGTAGAATGATTCTACTGGAGGAGTGAAGCTAATTGAATTTTATTTTCCAGGCTAGATTGGAAAGTGGGAATTAGTTGCCTCCTGATGTACTTATCTTTCCTGGTCTTCGCCTCACTTCTGGAAATGAACGTTTTCTTTCCAGTCAATTTACCTACTTGCGATCGGTGACAGCAGCTGATTTCTCTTAGGTCATTTTTTCATTCCTTATGATAAGAGAAAAATTGAACTGTACTTTATGTAAAGGAGAAATTGCGTCTTGAGAATACTACATGTGATTTTTCGTTTATCGTAATTTTAATCTTATAAGCTTTATAAACAATGTTTCTTCCATTGAGATTTGAGAATCTGCAGATTCAGATAAGGATTCGAATAAAACGATTTACTGATATTGTTTTGATTTCGCCTATTTCCAAGAACTGTCAACATGTTGACCGCCTACCCTCATGATATGAAAAAAAGATTGTCGATCATATGATAATGATAATAATAATAATAAAAATGTTTATGGAAGTTTCATGGTATAGATAAATAAATAAATGAATACAAACAAACTACCTCAAATAGCTAGAATATGGGTAATCAATTTTTCAATTCCCCCTTTCGCAAATAATTTTGACATTACCATATTCAAACATATAACAAAAATATTTAGGACATATAATATGTAAAGAAGATAAAGAGTCCAATACTTTCATAATACTAAGTTATCAAATGAGCTGTAGATGCTGTTCTGATATTAATCGTTTTATATAAGCAATTTTAAATTTGTTGTAAGAAGTCAAACTTCGATGTGAAATGCCAAATGTTCAGTGGATCTCCTATGGAGTGGATCATGTTTATAAGGTGGTATATTTCGAGTTATCACATTATAAATTATTGAACCATAGAACAGAGCAAATCTTCCAGGAATTTTCAAAATCCGTGTATTATTATAGTACTGTGTAATATGATCTCTCATCTTGTTATTGGTATTTGAAAATCTGATGCAAATATTTTGAAGAACCTGTAATTTGTGCTGCATTCTTTCATTCAAGTGATTATAATATACACTAGACCCATAATCAATGTGTGTTAGGATAACAGCGTTGATCAGATTCCACTTGGTACCTTGTAGCAAAACATATTTATATTTCCACAATGATTTTTCACAAACGATAAGATTTCCACGAAATTCTCAAACACACGAAATGTTTCGCTAACACAGTAGCTTCGCCAGGTGATATACTGGTACAATCGTACCAGTATAAAACTGAGTGACGTTTATTGAGTTTAAAGAAATCATCCGAAAATAACTAAGATAGAAACTCAGTATTTTTCATTTGGCTACTTTTGAAAAAACTATCTGTTTTTCATTTTTGACATGTAGCCATAATATCATCCATTTGGATACATGAAACTGAAATTGTTGTAATAATTGATGTCCTTATATCGTGAGTTATTTCCGGCTGATTTTTTTTAACTCTGAGAATATTGGCAATCTTCTGGGACCGAGGGTATGGAGAATGATCTGAAAATATCGTCTTAGTAATGATCTTTGGATTTCTAAACCTATCAAGCATCGAAATGTCATTCTATTCGGGCCACAGCCAACTTCATGCATTTCAATAAAATGCAATTTAACAGCCAATTAATGAACGAATATCAAATTGTGATACATAATTGAATAGGGAATTTCGAGGCAAATATAAGATAGGCTACAGAAATATAAAGGGGTGCCATTTGAAAATAAAAAGTTGGGTCTACTTCCAATCAAACAGGTGGTTGAAGAAAGGAACAAGAGAAACGCCATCATTGATGAGAAAACCCTTGTGAATCTCAAACTTTCATCTCTTCAAATCAAAAAAACTACAGGCTGTTTGTTACATGTCTCCTGTGTCATTCGGTAGCATATTTACGTAATCGTTATTTACGTTCCCTATACAAGTATACAGCTAGCGCGATAGGTCGCTCTCACGGCATAGGCATTGGAGTGCATACTGTAGCACTCCATTTCCTAGCTGAAATGAACGACCAACGACTGCTCTGAGGTGCATGGGTCAGGAAAATCCACAGATTTTGTTTTCCACACTGATTTTCAGTCTGGAGATGACACAATTTGACAATGAAACAGAAGTTCAATCATGCGAAATATTCAACTATACAAAAAATATAAACAAAATATATCGTCGGACCATTAGAAATGCTTTTCATTTCCAGATTTCATTTTTTTCTTACTGGTTATAAAGAATATGAAAGCAATCGAAAATAATCATTAGTGCGCACTACCATGACTTACAGCGTTCGTGGTATTTTGTAGGATGTTCACTATTAATGAACGCTTTTTGCGAGGTCTCTTTTCCGAACTCATTCAACTGTTAGACTCTTTTGACTAGTAAACAAGGAACATAGAGCATAAAACGAAGCTTCGCTATCCATTTTCTTCATCTGCCTATTGAACTTCGTGACAATAGGCAGTGCTGGATGAGATTCCACATAGCTGCTAGTTTTTTTTTAGTTGTCTTTGAGTTCGACTGATCCATCAGTTTCAGTTTCGTTCACTTCAACGGAAATATTATTTCTTCATCAGAAGCCGTTTCATTAAGGCCATCTTCCGTTTCCAACGTCATGGGTTTGCCAAACTCTGCAGTAACCTCTTTATCTTTTTCGATGCTCTTGGCGCATATCAGCTAGGAAACGGAGTGCTCCAGTATGCACTCCAATCCCTACGCCGTGAGAGCGACCTGTTGTAGAATAATACTAATGTATGTAAGGTTCAAGAAACCTATCGGAATTGTATAATAATAATTGCAAAATAATGACTTTTTGTTCGACAAATTTATTTCCTATCTGACATGTCTACTATTTAACAAATCCTTATTGTAACTAAAGAAAATCTAACAATGTTCAGAGAAAACCATATCAAAATTCTATTCCCAACATACTCCCCCCGAAATCAGAATTTAAAACGATCTGGTATTTTGATTCTTCTACCACTTCTTGTGAACACTATGGTTCTTCCAATTTCTTCTCATTTTCAGGTTCTTCACGCTCTTCATCCTCACCAATTTCTGCTTGAACTATCGTCTGCTTTCTTCTATCTAACTCTTCTTCATAAGGTGTCGTTCTATTGAATTTATCCATGAAATTCTCATCATTTTCTGCGGATGATATCTCCAATGGGAATAGACGTTGAAATGGTCTGACGAATTCTCCGTTTTTAGTCTTCACTCTTGCAACTCTACAAATATTATCTTTCCCCGGATATATTTCTTCAATTTTATCAAGTGGCCAATTGATTCTCTTAGTTGCATCTGAACCAATTGAAACGATGTATCTGATTTTTAAAGTTCCACATTTCCTATGACCAGTATTAACCAGTTCTGCCAAGTACTCCCTCCTAAATCGAGTTCTTATAGAGATTCTCGTATCCTCTGAAGGTATCTCAAACAAGATGTTTTCTGTCGATGTTGTCTAAATCGGGTGTTTCTGTTATATTTTGATCACTAATGAACATTGACGGAGTTAGAGGTTTAAAATCATTATTTTCTTCTGATAAATATGTTAGAGGTCTTGAATTTATCACTGCTTCACAATCACAAAGTAAAGTTTCCAATTCCTCATGGGTAACCAAAGCTTTTCCCAGATTTCTACGCAGTAAATCTTTCAGAATTCTCACAATCCTTTCCCACCATCAAGTTTTGTCAATATGTTTTCTCAGCTGGTCTCTTCTGATTTGATAGGCTTCCATATTCAATGTCACGGTCGCCAAATGTAGAATAATACTAATGTATGCAAGGTTCAAGAAACCTATCGGAATTGTATAATAATAATTGCAAAATAATGACTTTTTGTTTGACAAATTTATTTTCTATCTGACATGTCTACTGTTTACTAACTCCTTGTAACTATAGAAAATCTAACAATATTCAGAGAAAACCATATTAAAATTCTATTCCCAACACCTGTCGCGCTAGCTGTATAGGGAACGTAAATATGCCACTCGGTATACTGTGAAACTGCTAAACGGTTTCAAGCACCTTAACATTCTTAACCCCCTACCCCCTCATTAGTTGTCAAAGCGACAATTCCATGTCACTTTATATATAATGCCGATCGTAAAACATAATCTCATTCTGAAGTTTCCATAATGAGTTCCAATAAAGACGAGTCTGGGAATAAATCGACTGAAATATGGAGAGACTTCAAAGGGAGACCAACGCGAACCAAAATCATTGTTGGAGCAATTCTAGGGTGCATTTCAGGGTCGTTAGTGAAGAAGATCAGCAAATTAGCCCTCGTTTCGATTGGGGGAGGTTTCGTGCTGTTGAGGGTGGCATGGCAGAAAGGTTACGTGGAAATAAACTGGAAAAAAGTGGAAGATATTCCTGGAGGCTTGGTTGAAAGGGAGCTTGATGAAGATAAGAGGAAAAAAGTATGGGAATTGTTGGAGTGCGATAGAGTGGTTAGTGCAGGATTCATTGGGGGTTTTGTCGTAGGTTTTATTTTCAGTTGATTTTGTTTGGAACTTCAGTATAATGTAAAATGTATTTCTCTGTATTCAGATAAGTATATCAACTCGAAATAAACTTGAATAACATTAATATGGGGAGCGATGTAGCTGTGGAGAGGCCGACACGTACTGACTGAAGAACGATCATTCAAATTATTTTTATACGTTCTGATTATTGTGGAAAATTTCATAAATTCATTTTCAACCAATCAGGAGGCTCTTTTTTGTTTACGCTGCTTATAGCAACGGGGGATTATCACGATAATTTTGTTAGTTCCTATTATTTTAATGGAATTGATAAATGAAAATTTTTCAGTCAAAAATGAACCGCCTTATATCTATTGGCAAAACTCACTTAGTTTCATTTGAAACTATATAGTATATTAGATGTTATGATTGAAAACGAATTGATGGTTTTAATGTTAATAAACATTACGAGAACTGAGAAAAACATTGATTGAAATTAATATACAGTGTTACTGTGTCACAGATTAAATCTATCAATGATTGTTGCCTCTAAACTGAATGAGATTTTAAAATAAAGCCACAGTCAACTCGACGACAATATTATATTGTTTAACGAGCACAGGATGATAATGATTTCCTACGAGAATGAAGTTTGCAGATACGGCCTGTTCTAGAATACTGTTCTCACATATGGGGTTCAGCACCAAAACATACGCTGATGCTCTTAGATTCCATCCAGAGAAGAGCCATCCGCCTGGTGAGTGACGCCACACTCACTCACTCTTTGACATCATTGGAACACCGTAGAAAGGTCGGCGACCTTTCACTTTTCTATCGATACTTCCACGGGAAATGTGCTTCGGAAATCTCTGCTATCATCCCTTAACTAGCAATACCAGTCAGACGAACTAGACAAGCCCAGTCAGCACATCA